AATCAATATTCAATTGCCAGTGGTTATGAATGGGCACATTGAATGAATAAGGGAATGAATGATGGAGAACTGTAAATAATCCATTCAAATTAATCAGGGCAGAGGCCTATTCTAGTTAGCAGGAAACTTGCCATGATTATTTGACTATAGATTCAAACCAGCTGGTGGTGGGTAATGCCTACTGGTTCTGAAGCCCCTACTCTGTGCCAGACCTGCTACATGTTTTATTTCAAATGCTTACAACAATCCTTCAAGGCAGGAGTTAGTCCCTCCCACTCCTCTTATTTTAGAGACACAGAAGCTAGGTTCAGTAAGCTGAAATGACCTTGCTCAAGGTCCCGTGATTAGGAGGCACACTCAAACCCAGACTTGTCTGACTCAAAACTAGAATATTTTTTTACTGTGCTGGCTGATTTTCTCCTTATTATAGCTCTATTCTTTTGCATGTGTCACCACCGTCTCCATGGGGGATCAGCTGGTGACTGCTCTATTCTAGCAGTGCTGACACACTGAACAGTTCTTGATGAGCTACATTTACAATTAAATCACCAGGAGTTGACTCTGCAAAAAACCCGTGTCCCAGAAATTTACCCTGCTCTGCACTGGTACAGCTCCCAGATACTCACTTGCTGCAGCTCTGTATAGTAGTGAGATGGATGTCACTCAGTTGTCACAAGTTCTCAACCAGCCGTCTGTTGTTTACAGTCAGTGATTTACTCAGCCTTTACTGAGCACCCACTGTGTATCAGGTGCTTTGCTAGGTCCCAGGATACAATAATGAAAAAGGAGGTCAATCGAATGGGGAAGACAGATGCCCCATCACAAAATTACAATGAGATGTGATAAATGCTATGGAATTACTAAGGGAAAACATTCATTTTGTCATTTATTCAATCATTCACTTATTCCCTCTATGACTACGTACTGAGTCCCCGTGATGTGCTTGGCAAGAAGCCCACTCTCACATGAGCAAGCCAGGGCAAGAATAGACATGGAGGCTGCCAGCCTGAGTCTGCCCTGCCCTCTCCTTCTTCCCATCCCTAACTCCATCTTGCACTGCAGGGGCCTCTCATGTACGTGTTTGGACACCCTAGCCTGCATTTACAAGGTTTTAACCACCTCTTCCTAGAACCATTTACAACCAGGAGAGGCTTCTGCGAACCCTAGAAGCAAGCTTGGGTCTGTTTGAGCGCGAATGCTGGGATCCCAGGGCCCAGACTCATCTGAAAAGGGAGGAAATGGGCTTTGCGGGAGACCATCCCTTGGCTCTATTCATTCCTTCCCCCGTGGGTGGGGACAAGGAGAGAGGAGACCCAGAGGGGCACAGAGGATGGTCCTCAGACCAGCAGCCTTTGTCATCACCCGGGAGCTTGTTGGAAATGCCGAATCTCAGGCCCCTCCACAGACCCTGGGAATCAAAATCTGCATTTTAACAAGGTCCCAAGGAGATTCGTATGCACATTACCGTTTGAGAAACACTGCTCTAAGGGCTCTAGGTCTAATCCCCTCTTTATAAATGAAGAGTCTAAGGCTGGCTAAGCACAGGGCAGGGGGAGGGGGCGGGCGTGGGGCTGGGCTGGCGGGGTCTGGGAGTATCCTTCTGGGCACCTTGCTGTTCTCTAGTGGTGAATATGAGCCAAAGCAAATTCGAGAAAAAATACCTTTCGAGTAACTCAGAGTGACAGGGTCCTGGAGTAACAGCTGTATAGTGAGTGAGCCAAGAAGAGAATTCCATCAAGTTATGGGCAACGTAATAGTAGGAAGGGTAGTGATAACCCGTCTCACCAGGAAGGAACTTGAGGGGGGGCTGAGAAACTGTTTGTTTTCTATTTTATTTCTGGATGCAATGCAAATCAGCTGCAGGGGACTTCCATGGCCAATGTTAATTGTCCTTTTCGATGTATTTATTTTTTCATTTCTGCATTCCTTTGGCCTTTTCTCCCCCTTTCCTTAGTGCATTTTAGTTCCCAACCCTTTCTGATGCGTCCATTTTGTCCTGTTTTCCTTCACTTTTCTGCTTTTGCTTTTCTCAAATCTTTCATTCTGCTCCAAAGAATACGAAACAGAGAACAGGATGAGGTTTAAAAATATGGTCCAGGGCTAGTTTCATGCTGCTACAGACTCCTATCAGTTAAAAAAATTTACTTTGTAATTTTTATTCATACTAAAAATGGAGAGAATAGCATTTTGATTTTACAAGTACCCTTCATCCAGCTACAATTACCAACATATTGCCAATTGTGTTTCAGTTTCATCCATCCCATCTTCATATCTCCATTTCTCCCTACCTTTTGTGTTTTATCTTCCTTCTTCCCTCCTTCCCTCTCTCCTTTCTCCTTCTCTCTCTATCTCTCCCTCTCCTCCCTCTCTCTCTCTGTCTCTCTTTCGTTCCTTTCTTTTTTCTTTCTTGCTGGTGTTTATTAAAGCAAATCCCAGACATCATATCATTTAACTCATTTCCTATAGAATTTCCTGGAGGCAGGGCCACAAGAGAATGTTGGCTGAGGAAATGATGTCTTATGATTGTGTTCCTCACCAAAATATGGAATTTGTGTTACTGAGATAAGGAAAAATATAGAATTTCTAAAACCTCTACATAATACCCCAGATGGTATAGATTTTATTTTCCATCCCCATGTCCTCCTCTTAGAGTCTTTGAGGGGGGCCTGTGACAACTTTTTAATCTTCCTTGACTATTAAAATAGTAACAAAATAACAGAAACTTGGAATGTTTATAAACCTAAAAAGAAGTGTATGTTCTCTTACTGTTTGCCAAGAGCATTCTGAGAACATTACTTTTGCAGTTAAAATTTGTCAATGTAAAATTTGAGAACTTCTACGACAAGGAACCAAATACATCCCCCCCCACCCCCCCCACCCCCCCCACACACAGACTCT